AGAGTAGAATTAACTTGAAGAATTTCGTTTAGTTTAGAATGTAGAGTCCTTTGACTTTTCAAAACGTGGCATATTTTTAAGAGTGCATTAGCACACTGGATGACTGATGTTGATAACCGAAATAACAGTTGGGCCCCCGATTTTTTTACATTTAAGAAAATACACTTTATCCACCCCACTTACGATGGTTTTTGCGTCCAGAGTATCCCAATTGGCGAGAATAGTGTAGTTGCAGAACAGGATAAAGTGCGACATAATGCTATGTACGAGGGTCAGCATCCACCCCACATTTTCCACCGTCATCGTGTGCAAGACTTGCAATCCGATATATTCTCTCAACAGGTGGCGCGGTGTTCGGAGCGCGGGAAAGGCGCAAGGTGTCTGAGTTTCCATGTTCAACTCACGCATGACAACGCCAAATGGAACTGTACATACATATTTAAAACGAATAAATTTATTTTCTCATCAGAAGTTCACTCTTAAAAATAATGTTTTCCTTTTGAAAAGTGAATAAATTGTCAATTTTGTATTAAGTAAACAAATGTAATCCTAAATCCAGAGTATCTAGCGTTAAGTTGATAAAGATCAAACTTTACAAGGGATTTCGCACAGTTTACTTAATATGAAATTGGAAGGGCATTTACTTTTCAAAAAGGTAACACTATTTTTTAGAGTGAACAAAATTTCGAAGGTAAATCTAGAATTTTATTATTACTTGCATAAAGTGTTCCGAACATGATGATTACGAGGAGCGAGTACCACGAGACGCAGGCAAGCCAGGATACAATCATGGTGAAGAAGATGGTCCACCCGAGTCCGGTCTTGTCACTTAACCCGGGTAGAAATTGACTCGGGTGGAGAGGATTTTTTGGAGAGAAGAAGACGAACAGGGTCGGAGGGATGGGGGCCGGACCAATTGCGAGGACTTCTAAGAGGATCAAAAAATCCAGAACCCGGACATATTTGGCTACCTGGACCATTCCAGATTTTGTTATCCAGTTTTCTAAATTCAGATTTTAGACAGATAAGTAATTAAAGATGATTGATTTATGCATATGGTAATAATTTATGGTATATGTTTTATCAGTAGATTCAATTCTTCATAAGATGCGCTTATAAAATTGAGTGTAATTTTCATTAACATATCATAGCGTGTTTCCGTAAGTCTAGAATAATGTCTAATCTAGTCTAGATCAAAATAACACTATTTTTAAGAGTGTCGTCGTTTATAGATAACAATCCTTTGCAATTGGCTTCAAAAGCTTTAAACGTTTAAAAGCTTTAAACCGACCACAGGATTCCTTGACCCTAAACTTTACTCTAATATGAAAAGCTTTTGAGTATGACAACGTGACCTGACCTTCGTTCAAATGAATTAGGTTATACGGTACGTTATTTGTTAAAATTTGTGAAACTAATTAAGATCAAGGTGTCTCTAATTTGTACACGTGTATTTATTAAATTCATTAAATTAGTCAAGCCCTCAAGGTGAGTTTAGTTGCAAGTATTTAAAGCACAAATCTTGAGGTCAAAAATCAAAGTTGAAAATCCAAAACTTACTAGCAAAGCGCGGAAAGTAGGTAAGTATTCGATTTCCGACAGCAAGTAAGTCCTCAAAATACGAGCAAAATGTCGCAATCACACAGTAATTGATCCCAGTGAGACAAAGGACTCCGTACGTTGCGTAATAGTACGAACTCTGCTGGCCTTCCTTGCTAATTACCAATTTTACCGAGCCACCCACCAAGAAAGTCATGCAAGTCAGGTAGATGGCGATCGAGGTGAAGAATTTTTTCTGAGATCGTTCCGTCACACAGATTAGTTTGACGTTTTTGTCGAAATGGGCGCAAAATGCACCGACCCACGTGGACACGCGGGTCACGACGAAAATCAGTTTGTAGGTGAATTTTGAATACATTTTTTTAATTGTTTCAAATTTTACTAAACATTAACAAATGATTTGAATGACATTTTTCGAAATTTAGATAATCCAAAAGAGTTATCTGAACAACCAATTTGGTAAGATGATGGGTCGGGAATGACATTAATATGGACAAAACCTGTAGCCATGTCACTGTTTTTTGACTTTCGTGACTAATTAGATTAGTACAAATGTATTTGGGACTATGTATGTATGCAATTAAGGTCACGTGATTAACCAGCTGCAATTACAGTTGCAAGGTTTTGCTTAATAATTATGCGAATACAGAAAAATACAATTTGTAAAATTATTTTATGACGCATTTTAGTAACATTTACATACATAGAGTCGTTTTACCAAAACTTTAAGTACGCTAACGGTATTTAAATATTAAGCGATTGAGAGTTTTCGTTTAAGCTTTTGAACACTAAATTTTGTAATAAGTGCGAATCTTAATTAGTGAATAATTAATTTAATAATTCGTTACTATTCCAAAGCTGGAATTGAAACTGATATTTTATTCGTCACGTGACAATAAAATATTCGTGTTGAAAAACTTGCGAATAGAAAATTATAAAATTGTAGAAAATTACCCCCTTAAATTCGGGTATGTAGTAAATGAATACAATTTTGAGTTCTGATTATCCCTGATTTAACACGGGGATCAGTTGGGAGTTTATATTGCATGGTATCAAGAAAATGTCGGGCCTATTTAATAAGATGCACACCATAGTACCAAAGTTCCTGAAAATTAGTTTACTAATAAAACGTACGTACCCATAATATGTATGTAATATAACTAACCTCATAAATATGTTCCACATGAACCAAATTGTCGACCCGACCTCGTATTTACGTATGTACGTATTTAGTTGCGTATTAATTAATTGCCAAAAATCACATAGCAGGTTTTGACTGAAATAACGTCACTACAATGTGCATATGTACACCATTTACTGCATATGTAGTGCACTTAGGATTTGTATCTGTAAATATTGAGAAATATACAAAAAGTATATATGTAAGGTAAATACATATATGTATACGTACATATGTATGAGAATTATTATTGCGATAGAAACTTGGTTTTCGATGTTTTTTCGATAGTGAGTTAAGATCTTATTATTGATCGACGAATTCACAGTATCAATTAAACATGTTTCTAAGATTTAACTAATTCATCAGCATAGGAGTACTTACATACATACATAATTATGTAAATTTCCTAAGGAAATAATATATTCCAATGCTTTTAGCACATCCATAATTTCATCATTGTTTTCATAATCATTAAAGTATTAAACTAACATGATTCGCTTTTCTAGATGTTTTTATGTATACTGCGGTTCGACTAATATACATATATACTAAAATATTGACAAAACGTGACATTTCTAGGCAGATTTTTTTACGAATGTTAAAAATTATCTACAAGATAATCTACGTTTATTAATAAACAAGGTCCCAAAAAATGGGAAATCTTAGTGAGGCAGTGCAATCTCAACTCAGAAATAAAATTAGATTGCAGAATTTTTGAATCACCGCTCTCAGAAATACACCCCATTAATAGTAGGGTGTGTATTTCTAAAACATAATGGTCCATTATATTTGATCTCAGTTAATTTAGCACATTTCTTTTTCACTAGTAAAAACGCATTAAATTCGCAAATTAAGATTGGAGAATTCATTCTTATAAGCAAAATTTAGTGCATCCGGTGAAAATGATATTCAGAGCGGTGATGCAAAAATTCTGCAATCTAATTTTATTTCTGAGTTGAGATTGCACTGCCTCACTAAGATTTCCCATTTTTTGGGACCTTGTTTATTTAAAACTTGTAATTCGGTTGTCAACGACATTATTGCACCGCATTATACTTGCATCCACAGTAATTTTACTAAATTTTTAATTTTCAAAATTGAATAGCGTCGTGATTTCTTAACCGATTTCGGTCAATTTGGTCTTAAAATGATCAGAAGGAATCAGCGTAGCTTTTTCCAATAATTTAGGACAATGTGATGCTCTGAAATGGAACAATGGATGGAAAGGTGACTCCGAGTGCAAATTTTTGCACTATTTCGCCCATAACTCGGGTAAAAATCAAAAATTCGCCAAGTCAACTAGTACATCGTTTCTAAATCCTGTAACAATGATCTGTGCAAAATTTCATCAAAATCGGTTGAGAAATGGCCGAGAAATCGACTTATGTCACTTTTTTGGGTGGGGTAAATGCATACTTAGTAAATTTTTTTCGTTGTTAGGTATTTGCCTCACTAAGAATAAATTTTTTTCGTTGTTAGGTATTTGCCTCACTAAGAAAAACTATCCGTACAAAATAACTTGTTAGAAAATTTTCTAAGGAATTGAGATTAATTATATTTGCTAAAAATCGGTGTAAAATTTCAGCGAAATCTGACCTTCCCGTTCTGATAACAGCGTAAGTAATCATAAATAATACTATGGAAGAAATGATTGCGTACTTATAAAATAAACACGTATCACGAGCAATATCAAGGAGATAAGTAAGTGGCCATTATTACACACAAATTCGCATTCACCTTTGCACATATATAATTAAGATGCTAAACAATTCGCATAACCAGCGAATTTACACTGTTTGTCTTTACGTTTGTATTGACTTCATCAAATTCCAGGTGAGACGGCTCCCTAATTTAATGTTTAAACATGTCAAACGGGTTACAATCTTTATCTTGTGTGTATTTAAAGTAGTGTCCGGGAACTTGGACCGGAAGTGTATTTATTACCAGATTTCTTAATACCGGGTGACAATGTTAACTAATTTGTGTAGGTATTTGTATGTTTCTTTTGAGGTGATGTACATACATCTTATAGTTAGTTTTCGTACACGGGCATGTCCAAAGTTCAGGTTTACGCTGAATTTAGTAAATAAATAAATAAACAATGTGACGCAGTCATGCTGTCATGACTTGTTAGTAAATTTTGTTTTGCAAGTTGGAAAGAAATCCCGAGATTTCGTGATGTCATGTATGCTTTACTTGTAATAAATATAAAGACAGAATGGCATAAATTTCATCATAGAATATTTACTGGTTTCGGAAGGTTAAACATACTAAAATTTGTGCTCTCGTGATAACTTCGAAGATCGTGACTATTTAGCTTGTATAAAAATGGAAGTTTGTACATTTCCAAATATATCAGAATTTGAAAATTCTACGTTTTCACAATTTCAGAAACTTAGCGCGAATAGAACCCCGATATTAACACCGTACAGTTTTGAACTTGTAGATTGGGAGAGTTGGGGAGATTCCATGGGGGAAAATTGGATTTTACCAATTCCCACGGGAATTTTGTATTTGGCGACGATTTTTACGGTTAAAAAGATCATGATGAGAAGGAAAGGATTTGATTTGAGTGGCGAATTATTCCTCTGGAATGCAGGACTCGGTCTCTTTTCACTTATTGGATTTGTGAGAACGGTTCCAGAATTAGTCGTGAGAATTTGGGAGGATGGATTTCAAAATTCGATATGTGTCGGGTAAGCGAGAAAGTTTGACATTAACAATTTGTAAGAAATTTTAGAAATATGTTTCTAAAATGTGAGCAAGGCCAAATGAGATTTTTGTACGAAAAGCTGAACGATTTTTAGTAATCGCATATATGTAGTAATTAAATATTCAAATTAATGCTTACATTTTAATCATGGAGTGTAAAAATTGCAAAATTATTTATTTCAATCAAGAGATTTTTTAAAATGTAATTAAAAACTATCTGAAATTTTAACACTGTTTTATTTTTTTTCAGGAATCAGTTCAGTGCTCCCTTCGCCTTCTGGATATTTCTATTCACATATTCAAAATTTGTCGAACTAGGTAAAATTAAGATAAAAAAGTGAACTTATTTTATAAATAGATATTTAAACAATGTCATCGTCTTTGATGCGTAGCAACGCATAAATTTTACACTCTTACAAATAACCTTTGCCCTTCGATTAATACATGAATTCTCAATTCTATATTTACTAAATTTTACTAAATCCTTTACGTACGGTCCCTAAAACGATGATCAAACCTTGGTTTTTCAGGTGACACAATGTTCATCGTACTGAGAAAGAAGCCGCTTTTGTTTCTTCAGTGGTACGAAATACATACATAATTACGTGCTAATCATGCATAATTGCTCATTTACATAATTCATAATATCATCTTTGTTCTGCCAGGTACCATCACATCGTTACGTTAACGTACTGCTGGCTGATTGTCCCATTCTTTGAACCGGTGGGGGCATACTTTGCCGTGATGAATTATGGTGTGCACAGGTAAATGATTTTCAAAAAATGTTTATTTCCCATTATGTACCAAAAAAGTGTAAATACTTAAAATGTACACTCTTAGAAGTCTGATATAGTCAGGCATGCCTTAATTTCCAGTATTAAAATGTTTACCACTTTGTCTTAAAATTTGACCGGTATGCAAAAATTTGCCAATGATGTGGTAAAACTTTATGTATTACTACGTCATACGATTGATCAATACCGCTAACTATTAGCTAGAGTCAGACAAACATGAATGCAGCTTGGTGATATTTTAATACCGGATTTCTTAAAGTGTTGTACAAGATTCAAAAATCTTAATTATTTTCAGCTTGATGTACCCTTATTTTGCGGTGAAAGCATTGGGCTGGAATGCACCCCGCTGGTTGGCAAATATTATCACGACGGCGCAATTGTTACAAATGTGGGCGGGATTTTTCCTAAATTTCTACTCCGTCTTTTTAACATGTAAGTGGAAATAATTTACTGAAATGAACATTCGCCTACAATCGAATGAGAATTGTAATTTTCTAAATATTTTCTACTTTTCTGTTTAGGGCGAGGAATACCATGCTATCGGGCTCCGCTAAGTATTTACGCCGGTTTTGTAGTCTATGGAAGTTTCATTTTTGTCTTCACGCTATTGTTTAGAGAAGTCGTGTCAAAATCGAGGAAAATACCAGTAATGAAGAGTAAATCGATGTAAGTAATTATCTAACTAATGACTTATTAAATTACATAAATAATGTAGAAAATATTGAATATTTAATTCTTTGTGTATAAATTATCAAAAGCTCATAAAACGTCAAAATTTTGCTGAAACATAAAATTAGTTGATCACATAGATTTATAAATCGTGAACACTTCGAAAATATGGAAAGTCAGCAACAGTGGAGACCCTATTTAATGCAATATGAATTACAGAAATACTGGTTTAAAAGTTTCGCACTGTTCAAGGCATCCTGCGATATACCCAAACAATGACTTCGAAAATCTGATCCAAACTACTGTATATGAATGCCTTGCCCATTTATATCTTGCACTATGCTCTTAAAAATAATGTTTCCCTTAAACGAACTTATGTATTACAAAATTGAATAATGAATTTATGTATATTCGGTCAACATTGATAGTGAATTTACCAACATACCTTGTGGCAGTTAAGTAAATTTTCATTAGTGTAAATACTCTCGGTTTTATATACTAAAAATTTTTACACCACTGAGTAGCTCGCCGTCATCAAAGTTAGCGACATGGTTTGAGTAAGACAGAAGTTCTGGATGGTGAGTGGCGTTCTTCGATCAATGAAATTGTTCGAACCCAATTTAATCTTAAGGGGGCGACATGCCCCCAGCTTTCGTTTGATAAAGGCCCTCTCGACCTTAGTGATTTTCAGTCTCCATCTTTTCACAGAGGTCAGCAGCCGAGCTGAATTGACATTGACGCGCGATGCCATCGTAACAATTAAAATATTGATCAATCCAGAATTGACAAAGATCATGGGAAACAGGAGAAATTGTGGCATTTCAATCATTCCGTGGAGATGGATTGACGAATATAATCCAAGCACTTGAGCTATCGGAACCCCGAGAAGAATTGTGGGTACGAGACGATTTTGCAGAACGGCGTTGAAAGATTTCTCCAATACTTGGAAGCTATGGTAAATTCGAATCCATTCCTGAAGGTGATGAAACGTCGAAATTTTACTGAAACATAAAATAAATTAACTAATGAGATATGCAATTGCTTGGCCCCTTTGGAAATATGGGAAATGTAGCAATAATTCTAATCGTCATGTAATACAAATTTTGGAACAAGTAGTGTTGCAATAATCCCTTAAAAAATAGACATTGCGCAAATTGGCTTTGATTTGTTGAAGATTGATCGTTTATGCAAGGTCTTTGCAAACTTAGACGGTTAACTTTGCAGATTTAGTCACAACCTTGTATATATATTTGCTGGGCCGTTAGTGTTAGGGTTGGTTATCCGATCCGACAGATCAGGTAATAGCTACTCGGATCGACCTACCCTAATTAGTGTTGACATGATTATACCTGTCAATTTCTTTGAGATACATCAGGAAGCAGAACGTCCCCATGAAAAATGTTGATATGACGAGGGCAGAACATGAGTAGAGTGAGTGGAACATAATCCAAGCTTCGAAAATGTGAACTGCTCCGGTCAACTTATAACCACGCAACGCTTCACAGTTGGAAAACATGGATAAGATGAAGGGCGGCGAGCAAGGCAGCAAAGTCAAGAAGAAAAACACACCAAACGCTACGCTTGTCTGGGAGGCTTCCATTACGTGGATAAAAATTACCATAACTTTTACCTTGAGGGACTCTGGACCTGTCAACATTCCTGAAATTCATAGGACATATGTATTTTTAAATTAAGTGATATAAAAATCTATAAAAATGACTGCTGAAATAATAGGGAGCTTTACTAGCGAAATTTGTTAACTAATCAGAAATGCACCATTACGGATCATGGTACCCGTTTGAAAGGAAATGTACCCGGACTTCTTTATTGAGAAAACAAGACAAATGAAGGGAATCAGACGCCGCTTAACGCATTGATCCAGGTTGACGCCGGAGGTCATGATTCCTTCCATTGTATGGGGCTTGAAATTGCGACCATTTTCGCCCATGGCCAACCAAACCAAGCATTTTGTGCGTTATTTCGCTTTTGGAATAGTTCTTTCGTCGCATTTCACTTCAATACAAGTTCTTGCATAGAAATATTGCGAAATTGATACATCAAATTTGTCGGATATGAGATAGTTCTCGTCGTTAATAACCGAAAATTTCGATCTTGATTTCTTGTAAATTTCCTGTACCCCTGTTTTGGCTTGCTGTTTTTTATCCTTATACACTTTTGAGCTTTCTGTTTTTCTTGAAATCTTATCCCTATTTAATGTACTTTAATTTTCCTAAACGTTGTGGTGCGTACCCTGACCGTGTGGAAGCGGTTGGGTACGGAACGGATGGGTTCCGTTTGCACAGCCGTTTGCACAGCTTCCAAGGTTTTGAGGGTCGTCCGAGATACCAAGCTTCCGATAATATTTGTGAAAGTTGCAGTTTTATCTACTTCAGACCTTTGCAATACATCGTAAATAGTTGATTTTTGGTGACCTTGGCTTCCAAAATTTTAGCAGAGTTTTTCCTTGTTACAGTCGAACGAGATTTTCATAGCAGTGAAAAAAACGAGTTATGAGTTCCTGTTTTTCGACTCATGCCATTTTGCTCAAACTGACTTGTCAGATTATTGATATACGATTATGATTACTATTTTGGTTTGTACTTACGAGAACATATATAGGATTAAATTATTCGTACGATTTCGTACCGAATTAATTGAATTTATGAAATTCTGAGAACTTAGTAAAAACACCATATTTTGGGGTTGTTTCCATGGATTTCTGTAATTTCTCTTGCAGAATTACTTTGTGAAATAAGGACATGTTCAATTGCTGGGTAAATTTGCGAAAAAAAAATCCCATGGTTTTCCTGCAAATTTTTTGAGAAATCTCACATATCTCGCAAAACTTTGCAAGTTATGTTTCTATTCTCAATTTGCGAGATATGCGAGATATGCGAAGGTTGACGTGAGTACGCTCATTATAAAAACGTTAAGAAAAAAGTGTATACCTTTTCGTTGTAAATAACGCTCGAAATCCATCATCGAGTTCATAACTTGGATGGTTCCATTATCAAGATTGTAATTCCATCGAATTATTGCACAAACTAAATGCATTAAGAAAAATACTAAACCCTGAAACTTTCCGGTGACCGAGATCGGCCCAAAAGCTAAATTTATACCCATGGAAAATGTGTAACACGCGGATAAAATGCATTGAACTCGAAAAACTTTAATTTGAAGGATTGACTTGCTACTGATAAATTTTTTCGAGGTTTTATCAAAATCGAATGGAATGCAGTAAAGGAATTTGCATTGACGGAAACGATTCTTGATCACGGGGAGAAATGAGCTTGTAAACATGGCAGAGAGGATTGAATATTGATGTCTTTTAAAATTTCGAAAACTGTTAGAAATTTGGTGCGAAATAAATTCCGGAGATAAATAAATATCCTGTAAGTTAAAACATACTGGTCAAACGTAGACGGCACAAGGATTTAATTGCCCGATGAGAAATTACCCATTAATTTTTAATCATTGTCCGTTAAAAAGATTGATGTTAATTAAGTTGGTATTGATTCATATATGAATCACCGTTATAACTTCTTGCGTATTTGTGTTATCTTACCAATTAAAAGAGCAGACAATGCACTCTTAAAAATAGTGTTACCTTTTTGAAAGGAAATGTGCTATTAATTTGATATTAAGTAAACTACACTAAATCAAAATTTACGCTAGCTCGATAAAGAACAAAGGTTACACTGGATTTTTCACAGTTAACTTAATACAAAATTTTGACAGCTTACTTGTAAACGGGGGATAACTTTACTTTTAAAAGTGATATCTACAGCATAGGTAATCAAACTAATGTGTTCCTGCGACAATCAAGAAGATAAATGAAGCCAATCAAAATAATTTACTACTTGTGAATTAATTATTTATGGATCTCCCAATGACACGTGCCTCCATCGGTAAAATCATTATTTGGAATAATCATACTACAATTTTTATATCTTTTTACTGCAAACCACGTATTCATTTTACCACTCTTTTTTGATAAAGTGGCGATTTTACGGATGAGCTTCAAATTTGACGACATGAAGTATAAAATGTTCCGCTAATTAGACCGTAACATAAATATGGACAAAAATTTCCAATTTTTTATTTTTTGTAACTGTTAAATATTGACCAAAAATACTTGCAATAATGAAACCTTTTGGCAGAATATTTACGAATTTTTTTTAATGTAATATGTAAATGTTTTTATTTTTAAATGTGTTGTAAAAAATTATTAAAAATTTCCAAAATTTCCATTTCCATTTACTAGTTAAGCCAAACAGCGGCACTGCTTTAGCGGCCATTTTTTTTAATTCCTGGCCCACTGTGCCATGTGGCAAAAGGTTCACAGCCTGCAGGAAGGTTCAGGTTCTCCGCAAGTGGGCAATACACTTCCTATTCGTTCAAAACCTTTTATGCAAATGTCCTGCTTGGATTGCAAATATTTCCACTTTTTATTTTTTACTTCTATATTTTTACAAATGTGTGTACATATATTCAAGGCCTTGGTAATTACAACGCATATTTATTAGGAACAAAGAATATATTGCTCATGCAAATAAGCGACATATCCATGTTAGGACATGATTTTGGTAACAACATGTTATAGTCAATTCGTGATGCATAGTTCTTTTAGTGCGGGTTTATTTCTGCCGAAGAGGCATCAATAATTGAGCAGCAATAATGCACCAGCAAAGTCAACCAATCATAAATTTTTCCGTACCGATGAGCTTAATCGATACCGATTCACAATTGTAGTGCAGGATTGACATATAGACATCTTTCAGCACATGAAACCTACACCTTCACCTTAAAGAACGCATGATACATGCATATGGACATATGTGCACTGTAAAAAATGTGGTGAAGTCATATTTAAACTCCGTGATGGTATAAATTCTCCTCGGGTTGATAACAGTTTGATTCTGACTGGTGAGTTTTCATCACCACAACGGTGTATATTTTTCACTGTACGGTGATGGCCGATATCACCGTGCCGGTTAAGTAATATATACATACATATATGCACTACGTTCGGTGATGATTCAATACCGTTTTGCTAAGGAGGGGAGCTTCCGAGGTTGATAATAACAGATCTGCTTGAAATTTTTACCAATGATACTTTAGGATGAGTGAACCTTAACCCTTGAAGCTTTTGATGCCATGGCCATAAAGAGCTGAGAAATTAATTTCGAAAGTTTCAAATTTTCGGGTAGGGAAATGTATCAGATTACTGGGCACCTGTCCGCAAGATATCAATATTTTCTCCAGAAAATATCAATATTTTTGAAAACTGTTTTTGGCAATCCATTTCCAATTATCGGGGGTGGACAAGTTCGGTCATGGAGTCAGTCGGACCACCCCCCTTAGCGCCAGGGGGTGTGGTCAAATACCTTTTTTGGAATTATTTTTTCTCTTTTCGCATGGATGGCACCCCATGGCACCCTACATCATAAAAAAATTATTTGACCTAGCTACCACACCCCTTCAACTCAGGGGGTGTGGTTACATCGAAACCAGTGAAATCAACATAACTTTTGAACTGTTCAATATTTTTAAATGCGGCTTTCAGCATATGGTAGCATAAGTACAGACATATTGACGACCACACCCTCTCGCCATCAGTGGGTGTGGTCGGGGCAAAATGAGACTTTTACGGATATGTAATCTATAGATGAACTATAGTAAAATTAATGTTCCAGCGTCGTGGTGCGTATGCTCAGGACGATGCTAAACACTGGTAAAATCAATAAGTGAGATATATGCGAATTCGTGAACGCTACAACAATTTAACCGTCTGTCGGGCAGCAATATATCCTGCGGATATATGTATAATCCTTCTGCTTTCGGGCTTCGACATCAATATTTTGGAGGCACGAAAGATTTGATGATTGGGTCAATCCCGCCGGGCATACCCTCAGGGCACTGGATGTGGTAAAATTTTTGGTTTTAATTAATATTTACTTTTCACATATATTGCATGCCACTTTAGCCTGCACCAAAAAAATATCTGCACTACAGGAAACGCCCCCTGACCTCAAAGGCCTTGGTTGTCGAAAGCATTTGTTTTATGGTGCAATTAAACTAATTATTACTAAGCATGTACCACTTAGTATGAAATTTTCAAACGCTCGCGCGAAAAAACTGGCACAACTTCAGAAAATCCGGCCTACATTATTTGATAGACAAACCAATTAGTTATACTATTGAATCAATCAAGCGGTTATGCTGTCTCATTATAAGAAATGTGCACATAATTTGGTTACCATTTCTGGGCAATAATTCTCGAAATTAGTGGTTTTCAAAAATTTAAATTAAGAATTGAAACCAACGATTAAATTTTAAGAATTTTCAAATGAAATAAGGAATTAAGGACTCATTTTAATATATTGGCATCTCGAATTAAGATCAGGAATTACAATGTAACGCGGGAATATGACTAAATCTGAATTACATTTTTGGGCGTATTGCTGGCTTCTGATAATTTAATCCTGGTAAATTTTCATGATTGAGATTTTAGTAAACAAGACTCTTAAATTAATTAAATCACATAACCGTGAATCAGCGGATTTTTCCAGCTTCTCTCATAAGCGCTATGATAAACTTTTTAAATTTACTATTTTCAAAAATTCATAACTTTCGTCAAAAAATCGTAGAGAACCGAACAAGATATCAAAATGTTCATATTGACTTGGACTATCGATTAAAAAAAATATAGCCTCCAAGAAACAAAATCACCGATAGATTTGAAAAATGAACTTTTAGGTCAAAAATTGTGACCTTTGACCTTTTTGCGGTTTTCAAAAACAGGAACTGCATCCAACCACAATATTTCTGGGGTATTACTTTGCAAATTTTCAAGCCCTTATCGTCAGTGTGCGAGATACGAAGGGAGTTCGGAAATTAATCGGCCTGAACATGGTCCCGCAATAAATCAATCTGGGGTACTTACTCAACCAATTTTGAGTGTAGTCCCCTGCGAGGTGAATTTTTAACCTACGAGATCCGAGATACATATGAGTTTATATTTCGCACCGACCAAAAAAGTTGGGCAAAATTACCCCCCTTCAAGGCGAGGCCGATTAATTTCTGAACTTCTCTCGTAGAACAGCTTTTCTACCGTACAATTTAATTTTCTCGCCACCTTTCGTTTACACCGGTTTGAATGCAGGATAAACTAATCAAAATTGTGCAAATTTGTGAAGGGTACGTAAATGTGACACATTGTAACTCAAAAATAAGAATCGCTTGAACAAGATTTAGGCATTAACAACAATGCATGAACAACAATGATAGCATAACACATATACATGTACTTTTATGTGTAGGTATGTATGTACATACGCAGAATTAAAAGTAACTTGTTTAAATATTTGATATATCTGTTGAAAAATTAGACGTCGATGTCCGAAACAAGTCTTAAAATTATTGATCTGTTCTAGAGATATCTTACGGATAGATGGACGGACGAACTGTATCTGGGCACATGAATTATGCTACCCAGTACGCGTTACTTAAATTACTGTTACATGTTTTCCCGGTCAAATTTAATTGGCAAATACTATTTTGGTCAGTTCTAGTATTTTATTTTGATATCTTTATCTAATTGTTCATCAGAAACCTTATCTCGAATTTTTTTGGGACCCACGGCTTCAAAATGTTATCTCGACAATCACAGAAATTTTTCAGCGTGTGAATAAAAAAGTCCGAGGTTTTCAATTTGCTCAAGCAGGTATGATCCATATTCTCTTAAGTGGAACCGCGCAAGTAAAAATTGGACCACAAGAAATTGGTTTGATCATATGGTACGCGCTTGAAAGATGGAAATATGTTTTTAAAAGATGAGCAAGTTTTCTTAATTTAGGCGACACAAAATAATCAACACTCAGTGTCTGCACACAACCAGTCCAGACCATTCACAAAAATTTCAAAAATGCTAATCGCATCCACCTTCCTCGTTTTGTGATTTTTTTTATTATGCGTAAGTCGGGTGGGGTCGAAAATGTATGTTTTTTCCTAACCGTGTGAAATTTTGTCCAAAAAATTAGAACTGCTTCTTACACAGAACACAATTGTCTTTTAAGTTGTGGAATTATATTTTAAAAATTAATAAACTGTGCTTGTTACAAAGAGCTGTTTTTGTAACATAAATTTCTCGCCAACTTACAATGAGGAGGTGTCAGGTGGTTATCGCCGATGTGGACCGGACTAATTTTAACTTGTTAAGGCCCAGAAATAAGCCCACCCGTATTTTTTCGTTTTCCTGAATGGGCATATTTACTCCCGTGGTTGAATTTTCAAAAAAACAATCAGCCAAAATCCTGATTTTTAAAAACGCTGTAACTTTTCGAATTTTAGCCCGATTTCAAAAATTAAATACAATTTGTATTCAGAATTACTTTCCTGAAAATATAAAAATTCATTTTCAACAATTTTTTAAATTTAATATTTTCATGCCATCTCTGAGTTTTTAGAAGTGAAAAAAACGATAATTTTTTTAAAATTAAAAAATGTTTGAAAATGAATATTTATATTTTCAGGGAAGTAATTCTGAACACAAATAGTATTTAATTTTTGAAATCGGGCTAAAATTCGATAAGTTACAGCGTTTTTAAAAACCAGGATTTTGGCTGAAATTTTTTTTGAAAATTCCGCCACGGGCGTAAATATGCCCATTCAGGATAACGAAAAAATACGGGTGGGCTTATTTCTGGACCTTAACAATTTAAAATTAGTCCGGTCCAAATTGGCGATAACCACCTGACACCTCTCCATTGTTAGTATATTCCACCATTGGAATCAATGTCATTAATGTCTCACTTCGCAATAAGCGAAGTTCCAGCGACGTTCACCGATGACGCTGGAACATTAATTTTACTGCCTTAAAAACTTAGATGTCGAAGCCCGACAACAGATTTCAAAATTATTGTTCCGTCCAAGGACTCCTGGAGGATGATACATATACCCGCAGGATATTTTGCGGCCAGGCAGACGGATGAATTGTTAATTAATTTTTCCAATGATTTACATCGTCCTGAGCATACGCACCACGACGCTGGAACATTAATTTTACTATAGTTCATCTATAGATTACATATCCGTAAAAGTCTCATTTTGCCCCGACCACACCCAC